TTTAACTGACCCAGTCCCAATCAGCTGGCTTTGGGTCTATGGCAGGAGTAGCTTTATGTATGGGTCTAATTGAACTAATTACTGTTAGAGCAGTTGGTGTAGCAATTAAAGATGCTGGGCTTGAAATCAAGAGACCATAACCACTACACCAAACTGGCTTTAATTGGACTTAATCCTGAGTAAATATACACAAGTTCAGTGTGCATGATCATTTTTAGTCAGACGCTTGCCCCCTATGCTGGTTCCTTCAATCTCTAAACTTTATAGTCATGGAAGGAAAAATAGGTTGAAATGTATCAGGTCACAGTAAATGTTTTTTTGTATCTGATATAAAAAATCATCTCTATCTTAATTGCACATAACATAATATAAATATGCTGTTGTAGCTCCTGAAAGAAACATTGGGTTTTAAAATGCTGGGAGATTATTTAAAACTATAAAAAGAAAAGATTGGCTAGAGCATGTACCACGGATTAACAATGGTATTAGCTACCTTAATGAGATATTTACATGGAGAGCCAAGAAAAACTGTAAAAGATAAAAATATTTATTATAGCATGTGGAAAATTTACCCAAACAAGAAGAACAACAACTAGCACAACAACTAGCAAATAAGTATAAAATAGCATTGAAGCATTATTGAATTGAATACTTTATTTGGCCAAGTGTGGTTAGACACACAAGGAATTTGTCTCTGATGCAGAAGCTTTAAATATACATGCAAAGCAATGGTGGGATTCAAAATTTTTTACTACCAGTTCTGTGGGCATGGCTTGGTGGGCGGGGTGTGATTTGGTGGGCGTGGCAGGGGAAGGATATTGTAAAGTCTCCATTCCCTCCCCACTCCAGAGGAAGGTTATTGCAAAATCCCCATTCCCTCCCAATCAGCTGGGATTCGGGAGGCAGAGAATAGATGGGAGCAGGGCCAGTCAGAGGTGGTATTTATCGGTTCTCTGAACTACTCAAAATTTCCACTACCGGTTCTCCAGAACTGGTCAGAACCTGCTGCATATCATTTCTGATGCAAAGCAACAGAATAATGATAATCATAATAATATCAATAAGAGAGGGGAGTAAGAAGGATAATACGGATAAATAATATTGCTACAACCATACTTGATTATATATGCATAGACATTAGATAGCACTGTAAGAATTAGGTGGTCAGCATGGTGGCCTGAGAGAAAAAAAAAATCTTTTTTGCCATTTTTGCTATTAATCTAATCTAATTACATTTTTATATTTAAAAAATCTTAGATTAATAGAAACAGTGAAATAGCCAGATAAATTATTGGATGGTTAAGTAACACAGGTCTGAAAATATTCCCAAAGAAGGATTGAGTATTTTCTAAGTTAACGGTGGTGTTTACATTGGTATTCACTGTTGAATGTTTTGGACAGATATATGTCTATAATTGAGTTGCAGTAGTAGAGAGTAAACTGGGTAGAGTAGTCCTATATTTCACAAAGAGAAATGGAAAAAACACTCATATAAATTTGCATTATCTGCACATTTATCACACATTAAATATACTTGCATTTTCCCTATCAAAAGCTTGTATTATTCCAATTTAAATAGTGGCTTCATCTCCTACTTGTTTTCTTCTTCCTAGAGGGGAATTAAATTTGCTTCACATAGTATTGTCCCTTAGGAGCAACTTATCTTTGCTACTGTTTGTAAAACAGCAGGAAACTTAGAGATTATGATAAATACAAAATATTATCTTTGCCATCTTTTCTGTATCTCAGACAGGACGAAGTGATATGATACTTCTGAATTAATTAGGCCAATGCTGTTAAATTATGATGCTTGGAATTGAAAATCAGATTTTTGGAATTTGTGGATTGAATTAAAAGCACAAAAGAAAACCAAATCATTATATGTTTCACTAATTATAAAAAGGGCTTTGATTGTGTTGATCACATCAAGCTGTGGAATGTGAATACTGTAGAAAAACAGGAATCCCAGTATATCTCATTGTCTTTATGTGAAACTTATATACAGGTCAGTAAGCCACAATATGTACAGAACATGGTGTAACAGACTGACTCTAGCTGGCAAAAGAGTGAGAAAAAAGCTATATATTCTCCCCTTACGTATCCAATGTATGTGGTGACTATATATTAAAATAAGCTAGATTGGAATGAGGTGAGTGTGGTATTAAAATTACAGGAAGAACCATCAACAATCTGTGCTACGCTGATGACACTACTTTGATAGCCAAAAATGCAAAGAATCTGCAAGCTGTAACAATGAAAGTAAAGGAGAATTGTGAACAAAATGGGACTACATTAAATGTTATTCTATTAAATATAAAGAAGAGGAAACTAATGACAACAGGTAGTCTTAGACTTCAAATAAAGATATTTTAAATAGATAATTTCTGCCTTTTAGGCTCAACTATCAATGGTAAAGGAATAGGCAGTCAAGAAAAACATTAATCTAGCACCAGTAGCCATGAAGTCCTTGGAAAATATATTCAGATGCTATGATACCACTATACTTACAAAGATCAGATTAGTTCAGGCAATAGAATTTCCTGTAATGTTCCATGGAAGCAAACATTGGATTTTAGAGAAACAAGCTAGAAAAGAGTATTGGCATTTTTGTAATTTGATATTGGAGAAGACTTCTGAGAAATCAGCCAAGAAAATCAACAAATGGATCATGAACAAATCAATCCAGAGTTCTTCAAGGCACAATAACCTAGCTGAAATTATATTTCAGATACATTATGTAAAGTCCTAGTTCTCTGGAGTAGGTTCTAACACTGGGAAAAATGGCAGGAAAGAGAAGAGAATCATCAGCAATAAAGTGGATGCGGTAGTGATGGCTGCATTGCTGGAAAATCCAGTCAGGGACAGATCATCATGGAGAAAATCTATGTGATTACTAAGAGCCAAGACTGATTTGAAAGCAGATAATCAAAATGTTCCTATTGATGAAAACTTGCCTCCCTTCCTTTTCTTGGCTCTTGACTTCCAGCTTCTCCCCCTGCAATCACCTTGGTACTTTTGCCCCTTACCCCTTATAGCAGAATGGCTCATAAGAGAATTCCCTGAAGATGTCAACCTAGAGTACAGCAGCTGTATAAAAATGGCTATATCTATGCCAGGTATCACAAAAAAGATTGAAAATAAAACTACCAATTTTGCAATGTCCTTGTATCAATGTTATGTCACATCCAGAATACTATTTATAGTTCTGGTCTACCCGGATAATCATTAGGATAATGCCAGTTGGTTTGGCTATATCTTGAGTATTATCACAAGAACAACCAAATCTATTGCTCTCCCATTCATGCTGACCCTGTGCTCTTTAAGCTAGAATTTCTAATTCAGAGAGTGCTTTTCAAGCCAACATACTGTTGCCAGCATCCTCCCATGTGTAGACTGATACAGCTAGGAGGCTTTGGATAATCAGCATGACAATGCAAGTCCACAAAAAAAAGTTTTCCCTTCTCTTGAAAGGCTATGATCAAGAAACATTCAGTGAAGCTGATTAGAAGGTGATATACAATAATTAAAACAATTCCTCTTGTAATGCATAATTAACTTAAGAATTCATTGCCACAAAATGTAGTCATGGCTGGTAAGTCACGTGGCTTTAAAAGGGAATTGAAGAATAGGTCTCCATTAGGAGCAGCATGCTTCCAAATACCAGCTTTCAAAGGAACAATTGGGGGTGGGTAAGGGATAGGTCTCCAGCTCCTGCTTGCAAGGGCTTTAGAGCATCTAGTTAGCCAAATACTGGTCAAAAATGATAAGCATACCAATTATTCTCCACTGCACTTCTTCACAGAAGTAGGAAAAGCACATCACATGAAATAAATATAATAATGAAGGGGCATCAAGGACTGACTGACACTTTATTTTGTTTCTACCCATCCTCTACCCTGGCTGCTCTTTAGAAGGCCACATCCTGAAGATGAAACTCAAATACTTTGGCCACCTAATGAGAAGGAAGGACTCATTGGAGATGAGCCTAATGCTGGAAACGGTTGAGGGCAAAAGAAGAATGGGATGACAGAGAATGGGGTGGCTGGCTGGAGTTACTAAAGCATTAGGCATAAGCTTAAATGGACTCCAGGGGATTATAGAGGACAGGAAGGCCTGGAGGAACCTTGTCCATGGGGTCCCTATGGGTCGGACACGACTTCACAACTAACAACAACAACCCATTCTTACTAGTCAAATAGGAAGGGCATACTCCAAATCCCAACTAGGGGGTTTCAGCAGAATCTATTGCACCTGCCCTTTGGAAGATCATCCTTTTTGGAAATCAGATGGGCATTGATCAGGCATGGCTGGATGATGTGCTTTCTTAGATCAGTAACACCACCCTATATAAGCGCTCACAGAAAAATGAGAAACAGAAGACCCAGGAATAACTCTGCCATGCCTGAAGTTTTCTTCAGATGTAATTCAGGAGATAATCAGAGGGTAAGTTTGTCTATGAAACTTGTCAGTTGCCTGAATAGAAGCTAGCAAAGAACCATATATTAAGGGGTGCCAATCACGTCTGTAGTTTGTTATTCATCGTTTTGTTTTTTACTCGCGCAACGCCGCTCTGGACGTTAGAGGGATTTAGACAGCCGGGTAAAAACTGAGACAATTCATGGGGCACGAGCAAAAAAAAGGCTTTTGTTTCTTTCTGTAGCGGGCGAAGGCGACGAAAAGGCATGGCAAGTTAAGGACGGACGTGTGCCTTCGGCATCTCCCGTTCGTGCCTTGCCAGCTCCCCGCCTCCGCTCCTTCCAGCCAGGGCAGCGGCAGCAGCTGTCCCATTGCTGACATTCCCCCTGCCGAGCATTCCATACCTCTGAGGTAATGGGGCTTCAAACACAGAGGGCTGTACTTTTAATGACCACGCCGTATCCTTCCGCATGGCTGGAGCCAATGGGAACGCCTCCAAAGGGGGAACGAGGAAGGACAGGGCGGCGGGGGGGAGCGGGCTGGGGAGGCAGAGGAAAAGAGACAGGAGGGGGAGGGGAAACCTTGAGCGCTCGGAGGAAAGCTCTCCTTGTGCTCCCCGCAGCCTTCCTCTGTCAAGAGAAGCTGGCTGGCGAAGGGGGCGGCCCGCGTTGATTCTACCTCCTCCTCCTCCCTAACTTTTCGCCGAGTGGAATGATATCCTAACTCAATTTTGGGGTGTTGTTGTTGTTGAGAGGCAGGAAGTGAGGCACGTTCGCACTCTGAGCGCCTGAGAGGATTATACCGAAGGCGGCTCGCTTTAGACAGGACCTTCCTTCCTTCCCTTCCCCCTTCCCGAAGGAATAACCCGTGAAATGGCTTCGTCTGAAGCGCTCTCGGGGCTGCTGTCGGGATTTTGCAGCTAAAGGAGACCACCTTTTTCTTTTGGTTGCCTTGGGTTTTCGCAACAGGTAAAGTGAGCCAACCGATGGCGACGGTGGTGCTGGGCAAAGGATAATACGGGGTGGCAATTGCCTTTGGATGTTTTATTTTAAGATGGTAACGTTTCCAAAGTAGGATTCGTAATCTCTTTGGAAAAGTCCCCATTCAGACTCCGGAAAGGTTGCCGTAAAGAATAAATGGCAAGTGGCTTCTCTCCTTGACATAATTAGGAGAGGGCGGGGAAAGGAGGTTATTTCACAGTAAAATCAGTCTTGGATGGCAAAGTGGTTCGAGACATGCTCTGTAAGTAAATTCAAGCTGCTTAACTTTTTTTCACTTACCTTTTTCTTTTTTCGCTCCCTATTACTCCTTTTAATCTCTATCTGGTTGAGTCCGACTAAACGATGTAACATCTTTTCCAAAATAAGTTTGTCTCTTCATCTGCATAATATCTCACAAAAGACAGAAAAGATATGAAGCATCTTTGTGTAGTAAACTAACCTGAATTATGTATGCAGAGATTTTCCTAGGCAGTTATAGTGCTTTGTATTCCCAGTGGTCTCTTATTAATTCTAATGCTAAGCACCAGTGAGAGGAAAAAAACGAATCTTCAGTGTTTTATAGGGTGCATTTGATTTGTGGATTAAGATTAAAATGGTTTGAGACCATCTTCCATATTGGTACATCCCATTCTTAACAAAATAACATTAACATTTTCTCTTCTTCTTTTGCTTTAAATGTATTGTAGTGAAATGAACATTTAACATAATTCTGCCCTTTATTTTTGAAAGAAAAATATGTAAACTGAAGAAGGGAGATTCATCATTTTTCTGTTCATATATGATACTTCCCACTTGTTTTATTATTGTATAGAATCCTTATGCAATCCAATCTGAAAATAAGTTATATGAGAAATGTTGCTGGTTATACTTTGCATATTAAACATAGGATAAAATAGATTCTTGTAAAGAGTTCTAAGACTTCTATGATTTCAACACATTTCATTGGATTTACTAGTCTGTGTATCCTAACTATGCAGAATGGAGAGCATTTGTAATAGGCGAATATGGCGAGGTCTAACATGACAGCAGCTGGTAGCAGAAAATAACAGCTGCTAAACAAAACTGGTTGTGCTGTGTTAGCAAGAATTGTGCTTGGCTAGCTTGGAAACTTGTTGAATAGGATTGAAGCATGATACTTTCTCCACCCATCCGCTGGCATTTTCTAATTGACTTGCTGTAATATAACTGCATTCTCTGTGGCTCATTTTTGGAAAGTTACAAAGATTAGGAAGATACATTTTAAAATGTTTCGGTCCTCTGATTTTTCTGAAGTGTAAAAATAGGATTTGTTATCAGGAAAATTAACATTTTAAAAATATTTCTAAGTCAAATGTTGATATGTTCATACAAAAACATTAGTCTAATAAAGAGTGAATCCAATAGAAAATGAAACATGGCACACAATCCAGCCACAAGTAAGTGTTGTATGGCAATTCATTGAATTCAGTGAAAGAGCAGTGAAGACTGATCTTGTCCATATTCATTCAAAAATGAGTCCCATTAATTCAAAATAGATCTTAGTATCATATTAAACATGGCTACAACTATAGGCTTAAGCATGTGCTTAATGTTTCTAAATGAGAACATTAGAGCTATAAGTATTCGTTGGAATATGTAATATGGTATAAGAAATAATTGAAGAAACCGTAGAATTTCATGCATTAATAATTGTTCCTGTGATTAGAGTAGCGTGATGAAATGTCAAACTTCAAGCATATTTCTAAGACAACTTATTCAATATATAATTAAAACTTGTATGTTGCAATATGGTACTTGCATCTATGCAGAATATATAGTTTGTGCTGTACTGAGGTTGAAAATGAATATGATGGGAAATGACAGAAGTTTAAAAGATGAACATGGTGTGGTTTTTAATATAGTAATAGGAACAGAGTCGGAGGATTATCATTTATACATTCAATTGTAATACTTCTAAGGTCAGTATTGGAGCTTCTGATAGTTGGCTGTGCTGTGGGTTATTCTGGAATGGATCCATGCCTTGCTCATCTTGAATAAGAAGTAAACAGAGGTATAAATTGTAAAAAACTATTAAAATTGCCTTTAATGAGATAAAAAATGTAACATTCCCTAATAATAGCATTAGCATTGAGATTCAGCAGTGTAGTAGCAAACTGTCTTCAACAGACTACAGTAAACAAACAAGTTGGACTGCTCAATGAGACCTAGATAATTCCATGAATGCAACTGAAAAAAGTTCATCATGACCTGTTAATCAGGTGTGAGATTCATCCTGATGATGTCATTGAAGTACTCATGAGCAGTCCAACTTGTTGTCTGAAGAGTTTTCAACTTCAACTATATTTTCTACTTGAATCTCTTTTTAAATTTAAAAAAAAAACTTTCTCTCATGAGTACTATAAGGAAAGGTGTGATAGTTGCAAATATGCCCCATGCTTGAAAACACTAAATGTCACTTCCTTAAAATAATCTTGCTTTATAATAGTCATAAATATAGTTGCCCTGGATTGAATGAGTTGTGAATTACGGAAGTAACATAGTAGTACATGTTACTATTTCATGAATAAAATGCAATTTCTATATTATGATTTCAGATTTAGCATAACATTAATAGTTAAGGTTCATATATCACACTAGGTATAATGTAACTTATTTACATCACCAGAGCAGTAATATAACTTATGTATGTAATATAATATAATTACAACCCATTAACCTGAACAGTTTAGCCTAGAGGTGCACAATTGGGCCCTCCCAAAAGCTTGGATATGACACACACAGGGATCTCTCTTATGTTAGGAGTAAAAATGAACATACATTGGATAATAATAACATTTACTTATTTTAATAAAGATTCAATTATAATCAATATTATTAATAAATACTTAATGCAATTATATATACATTTAATTTAATTTAATTTTGTCCATCAGTACTTTTGAGAGTATGGCCTCTGACATAGCATCAAAGATCAGGTGAGATCTCTGGCCTACAAAAGGTTGGACCTTTCTGTGTACGCACATTATATAAAGATTATACATAAAAAACATGTTACATCTAATGGGACTTAGGTAAGATACCTTCTCAGTAGTGGCCCCTGCCCTTTGCATCACCCTTCTGCCTCAGAATCAGAAAGCCCCGAGCCTTCCAATAAGCCTTAAAGACCTGACTTGTCCCACAAGTATTAGGTAGTATGTGGTTGAACCTCACAAAAATTGTTTGTTGGATGAGGGAGGTGTTGCTTTATGGAAATATTTTTTTGGTTTTTATGTGCTATGTTGTTTCAGGTGTGTGTGTGTGTAGTCTTATAGTTTATAATAAACATGTTATGGCTTAGTGATTCTTTTGAGTGCAGTCAATTCCTTATTGAAGACATTATATTTTGCATAGAATTATCTATGAACCACATTGAACAATGTCTTAGTGTGAATATTCTTTATGTTGTAATCTCGAGGAACATGCAGAATTAATGGTGTATTCTTCTGTGTAGTTTCATTATTGAAATATGTGCAACATATTCATCTATTGCCAATATTGCTATGATTTTCATTATAGATTGGTGCTAGTAAAGATTTATAATAAATCTTTCTAATACAAGATTTCCCGAGTGTTTATTTATTACTGAAGCTCTCTATGCAGTTTACAATAACACACACTCAAAAAGAAAACAAATTAAAACATATGCAAATAAAAATAGAAATAAAACCATCATACTAAGGCCATGGAAAGGCAGTTGTCAAAATCTGAAGCAATATAAATATGATTAAAAGGCTTGGAAAAATGAAAATGTATTCAGTTGAAAAGACTACTAATGTGGGCACTAATCAAACTTCTTTGGGGAAGATATTCCATAAATAGGTTGACATCATAAAAAATGCTTACTTTGGTAGAAGCTCATCTCATCTTCCTTGGTGGTGTATATGAAAAAAGACCTCATTAGAAGATCTTAAGGTTCAGGTAGCTACATATGGGAGAAAGTGTTTCTTCAGATACTCTAGTCTCAAGACGTTTATGGTTTTAAAGATGAAAAACAGCACTTTGAATTGGGCTCAGAACAAACTGGCAAGCAGCATAGATGGCGAAGTGCTGGCATAATAGATGCATATCACCCAATCTCAGTGACCATGTAAGCTGTTCTACTTTGAACCAAGTTTCTGGAGAATATTCAAAAGCAGCCTCTTTTAATGCATTGTAATAATTCAGTTGAGGAATTAAACATGAATAACTGTTGCAAGACCATCTTTTTCCAAGTAAGAGAAGAGCTAGAAAGATGATTAGTGGCCTGGAGGCTAAAACATATGCAGAATGGTTGCAGGAATTAGGTATGTTTGTTTAATGAAAAGAAGCGACTAGCAGTTTTCCAATATCTAAGGGGTTGCCGCAAAGAAGAGAGGGTCAACCTATTTTCCAAAGCACTTGAACGCAGAAAAAGAAAGCAACAGATGAAAACTAATCAAGAAGAGAACAACCTGGAAATAAAAAGAAATTTCCTGACAGAGCAATTAATCAGTGGAACAGCTTGCCTTTGGAAGTTGTGGATGCTCCATCACTGGAGGTTTTTAACTATGGACTATGGACAACCACTTGTCTGACATGGTATAGGGTCTCTTAAGATACAATAAAGCTCCCAAACTTTATTCTACTTATTTTTGCTTACCTAGTTAAGAAACTGGGCTTTCTTGATAGTGACCTTACTAAACTTCAGCTGAATATATTTTTCTTGATCGATTTAAACAATTCATATAGTTGCGCACTTCACAGTGACTCTGAATGGTAAAAACAAAATAAGAACACAACATAAAATGAATACCCAGAATAAACAGTGTGTAAGGACTAAAAACATTCCATGTCTAGTCCAAAGACTGGAACTCACAAATTCTAAACCCTGCTTAATCTTCCAATCCCAAACCTGGGACAACAGTTAGGTCTCTAGTGCCTTATGAAAGACCAACAGAGTCAAGACCATTCTCAATATCTAATAGTTCAAAGGGCAGGTGCTATGGCACAGAAAACATGATTCCTAGGTCTCATAATATGTCACTGCTGAATAGACGAATTCTGGAGCGTTCCCACTTTGCTAGTTTTGGTGGTATGAGCAGAGATAATTGAAACAAGCAGTCCCACAAATAATATGGTCCCCTCCTCTGTAGGGCTTTATGGAGCTCCTAAAACTGCACCCAGAAGCCTTCTGGGAGCCACTGCAACTCAGAGAACAGAGTAGTACATGAGAATATTGTGAAACTCCCAAAACTGCCTGCCTTATTGCATTTTGGACTAGTTGTACATTCCATATTCTCTTCAAGGACAAGTCAGTGTAGAGTGTAGCGTCCAACCTCCAAACCCAGAAAACAGCACAATTATTGCTCAAGAAGAACTTCTTTTTCAGTAGGAGCTGTGGGTCCAGGAAGTCTCAAAAATTGTTCATCCAGATCCCCACAGCCTCCAGACATCAGGAAAAGAACCTCAACAACATTATTTGGCTGATTCAAGGCAGATATGCATAATGGTGATGCCTCGCCCAGTGTCTAAAGGTGACTTCACTCAATGGTTTCATGTAGACATATTTTTTTTAAAGTAGAGGATAAAGCTGTAAGAAGCCCCATGAAGCAGAGTCTTAGGTTCAGCCTTTCTGTACCCTTTCCCACCCTCATAACTGGAACGGCCCTGGGGAAATGAGAAAACCATTATAATACTGTACCTCTTTTAGGAAATACAGGCACTTCCTGATCATTCAAACTGATTGCAGATTTCTTTGCCCTAGTGAAAATCTTCTGAAAACCAGAGAATGTTGATAAGCATCATAGTCTCTTTTTCACCATAATCGGTTTATATTGGAGAAGAAGGCTGAGTAACGGTAAACCTAGGACAGAATGTACAAATCTATTCCACTTTCTATTGAGAGAAAGAATCATTGAAACAATGTAATTGTTTGAAATTTTGAAAGCATGCCTTTTTAGTGGCCTCTGCTGAAGATCCCTGCTTTTTGGAACAATATCCTGATACAGGTGGCTGCAATAGCTGAATAAGCCAAAATAAATTATAGCAAATTATAGTCATGGTCACCATTTTATTGTTTCAGCAGGTATCTTTTAATGTACATGTTGCTTTTGTGTTTGCTGATGATTTTTGTATACCATCCAGAATCATGTTGAGTTGGGCAGACATATAAAAGGCTTTAAATAAATAAATTAATTAACCACCATGAAATATTTATAGAAATAATAAATGTCCTTAGAAGTTGGGATCGATGGGAGTTTCCATTTAGCCTACTTCATATAATAAACATTTTGGTTTATTTCTTGCTTTTTAAACCAAATGTACATTACATATACAGTGCATAAAATACAGGCAAGAATGGACAGATCTCCTTCCTGCCAAAGCACAGGGCTTTCCAGAATGATTTTGAAAGTTGTCACATGATCACATTATACTGAATGAAATCATTCTTATAATACTTCAGATGTATGGCCTATATGTTTTTTAAAAAATGTGCAGGTAAGGACAATAGGAACAGGGTACTAATATAGTGAGACCATGCAAAGTTGGGGCATCAGTCCAGATGGGCTTTTAAAAAGTTTTTGAGAGAATGGCTTATTTTCTTGCATTTGTTTTCTTGGTCTGTGAACCTGAATAAGTTTTACACAGTATTTATTTTGTTCTTCAACTGAAAATATACAGGAAATTTTATCACCATTTCTCTAATACTTTGGGATATGAGTTTGGAAGCTTCATGAAGTCGATAACCCACAATACTATATTAAATGCTTTATACTGATGTGTTTTATATTTCTGTTAAACAACCTGTGACCCATTGGATAATCCTTTCATAGATATTTCCTTACCTAAACAGAGAAATCGAATGACTAGGCAAAAGGGAGTGGGAGTGTTAGCAATTATCACTTTCCTGCTGGCTTCTCCATTTTTATCACCTTCCTGCTGGCTTCTCCATTAATGTTACCTGTGAGAAGCTGGCAGGGAGTATAATAAATCAGACCTCTTCCTCATCCTTGAGTGATCCAAAGTACTGTATGCCACTTTGCTGGGGGAACCATGAGAAAAACTACCCCTGCTCCCCAACTGGGTCTGTCCTTAAGGGCCCACCTCAGCCTATCTTGCCAGCAGCATCCAAATCACTTCATTGTCCTTCCCTCATCATCCATTGCTATTAAAAGAGATTTCAAATTTCAATCTCAGTTCCAAAGCAACCAACCCCAACCAGCTGATTGCATGCAGGGATTAGGTAGGCAGGAAAGAAGGCAGGGATATAGCCCTCCCATCTTACCTTATCCCACACAATCTATGAGTTTCTGAGAAATGTAGTCTATTGGCATTGTGGTACTGAAGCAGCCACAACTTTTCCAAATTTCATTCCTGTAGGAGTCATAGATCCTGGCATTCTGTAAGTTAATTCATTTGAATTATCTTGCTTCAATAATTGTTGCCCTACAACTTCTGAATTTTCCTAGTTGAATGGTACAAACAGACTCAAAGTTTTAGTATTATATAAATAAACGTACTGTAATTTCAGATTTGATTATCAAAATTGGTTATAAATTTGGTTATACAATGTTTACATCTCTCAACTAATTATTAGAAAAATTAACATTATGTCCCAGAAAAAAATGTGAGAGACCTGTTAAGAACATGATGTGGGAAGAGCTCAGTTCAAATTTGATCTAAACTGTGAATTTATGAGATGTGGTCTTACCTTTAATCTTTTTTCTCTTATTTGTTTGAAACGAATAACATTTCTTGTAAGGATGTTAGGGAAAGTTTATGGAGGTGTTAATTAAGTAGTTGGGGAATGATAGATAAAAAGTAATTATACCATAGTGAATAATATGTGGCTGCTGTAAATTGGTCTTATAAGCTATTAAAATGTGAAAATACCTCCGAGTCTTGTTTTAATTAACTCAGTTTCTCCCCCTTCCTTTCAGAATTCTTGTGGATGTTTCCTTTATTCAGAATTTGGAAGAAAACCTGCCACTTTTTAATGGCTGCTGCCGCCGCTGCTGGATGATCATCTCAAACTCTTAATAGAAGAGAAAATATTTGCCTGATGGTTTTCTGTAGCTTTTTGTGAATGAGTGAAGGAAGAAATGCCTCTACCTTTTGGGCTGAAGTTGAAACGAACTCGACGCTATACAGTATCTAGCAAGAGCTGTTTGGTAGCCCGTATCCATCTACTTAACAATGAGTTTGTGGAGTTCACGCTATCGGTGGAAAGCACTGGGCAGGAAAGTCTGGAGGCTGTGGCACAGAGACTTGAACTTCGAGAGGTAGGAAACATGGCTGTTGGCATCTCCATCTTGGAATATAAGAGAATTAAAAACTAAATTGTAGTAGGTCATGTTCAGTTGTACATTTACTCTGTTACTATTATTATTGTCTGCTGCCTACAGTATGTAGTTATTCAAGTGTATTGAACAAACAGCAGTCTTGTTACCTGTCACACAATTATTTTTGACTGAAAGTAGCAGGAATTTGAATCTGATATTTTATATAGAAAACAAAGCAGGTATTCAGTCAGTGAGGTAGAGTTCCTCCATCATCTTTCTGCACAATGGCTTCCCCAGCATTAATATATGGTTTTGATATTGTTCGCTGTCCAGAGTCAATTGGATTGAGATGGGCAGCAGCTATATAAATTGAATAAATAAATAAAGCATTCACATAAACAAAATTGGATCATGCAAATTAAAAAATATCTCTACAAGGGTGCCTGCATATAGCGTGTAGCAAAAGCTGTAAAGAATCTTCACTAAGAACGGATTGTGCTATAAATACCTGAGAGATTATACTTAGATTGCCTGCAATAGTAAGGTTACAGTCTAGGAACAGACAATATGAAAAACAAGCAGAGAAATAGAAACAAACATATTCTTATCTCTAGCAACAGAAATTTTATTGAATTAATGCCTAGAGACATTACCTGTGTAGTAATTATAATATACTGTATATCTATCAAGATTCTGCTTCATATTTACACTCTGAATGTCTCTGACATGGTTGTTTGTATTGTCCTGAGTTCATTAAAAAGCCTTGTTATTATTAGTAAATAATTATTAATCTACAATTTTACAAAATGTTGCACTAGTATCCAATTAGTATCCCATTCAGTTTTCCAACCAATAAGTCAGCTATATTTTTTTCATCATATTCAGCTCCCATTCTGAACAGATTACAGACTGATGTTGATAACACCAAATGCGTGCAATACAACAAGTGTGGCTCATTAGCTTTATTTGCCTCTGAACATTTTTTATTTTTATAAGAGTAAATATTAGAGTTATCTCTCTCTTGTTTTCCAGTAAATTATTTTTCATTAGCTAATTAGCTAATTTAGACATATCTGAGTTTTATGTTCATTTCTTGGATAATAAAGTAGAAGCCTGGATGACTTTCAATTCTTTACATTAAGAACAGGACTTTTCATTGTTCCTTCATTCTTAGATTGTCCAGGAAGAAATTATGCTGACTCAAAAATAAAAGATCTCATTTAGTTCTCTTTAAAAGGCTGAGCAGGAGTTCCTTGGTAGGGAACAAGAATTTTGTTACAAACTAATACATGGAACCGGATCAACTGTATATGGGAAAATAAATACTATTGATCTCCAGACAGGAAGCTTTCCCTGCATAGAAATGTTTTCCATATTGGAAAAAACGAATCTTAGGCAGACTTGTTCAATACATGGTGAAATTGGAGGGCAATCTGAATCAGTGGTGGATTGCAGGCGATATGCCCCAGTATGGGCGTACCGGTGCTGTTCGGAGCACCGGGTACCGTTCCTATATGGTGCTCTGGAGGGCTCCTTATCTGTCTTTAAATTCTTTGGCGCTTCTGCGCACGTTCACAGCACGTACAGCGCCTGTGCTATGTTCCACAAAGCAGCTGGAGTATCGCAAAGGCTCGCTGGATGGTAAGATGCATAAGCGCGCTGCTCACACATGCACGTTCATATGGAGGACGCCGGGCCCGCGCCAGTAAGGTTGCAATGGATCTGGAACCCACCACTGATCTGAATCTACTGTAGAAGTTATCCATATTTTCCATTGGACAGGTTAATAATTCTTTACGTTCCTCTGTTTTTTTCCCCAAGCAGCTCAGTTCAGCATTCATGATTGTTAGGTAGTTCTGCTGTATCAGAATAATATAACATTGGGCTAAAAGATGGTGCTAGGCCATTGTGAGTTTATTGTTTTAGTGGGGATTTGAATTTGAACCTCACAAATTCTAGTACAATAGTCTTAATTGTTACCCTGTTAAAAATCAGGTTATGGTTTTAAAACCAGACTACAAAATTTTAAAGGATTCCCGTCCTCCACCTCAGTAAGCATTCTTGCAGAGATTGTTTTGGAAACAAAGTGTGGACAGGCAAGGGAAATAGGCACCATGCAAACATGTAAGCAACATTCCTTAGAATATTGCAAACTGAAAATATGTCTGTCTAACTAAGTTCATTTTAACAAGCTTTTAACAAGCTTTCAGTTTTAATCACTCTCCTTCACTACATTCGAAAAACATTTTGATCATCTTCCAAGTCTTGGATGTTTCTGATGAAAACTTTCCAGATCAGTATCTATACACTAAACTCTTGTGTCTATAACCTTGAACTAGGTGAAACTATATACCATAAATCAACAATTCCTGAACCAAAGTATTTCAAATGGGCTTACAGAATTGTCCAAAATCTAGAATCCATGATTCCCATAAAATGGTAATTTGGTACATTTTATAAAACATTTTATGACATAAAATTATAATAAAACATTTTATGCTAATACAAAATGTCATTAAATATTTCCTGTGTACAACTCCTGATAATTGACTGTGCTATACAGTTCAGCATGTTTTACTTTCAAGGCAGATACATCTCTGAACATATTCCTGAATTCTTAAAATCTTTTCCAGTGAAAGCAGTGCATTAGAAGCTTTTGCCATTGTTGATGTCACTGTAAGGAAATATCTCTGAAACAATGACCCAACAAGTCATGGGTTGTCTAGTTTTCTACTACAACCAGATATCTTGCCTGTTTGAGGGGATTTGTTCTTAAATTACATTTTATTTCTACTTTATCCTAAGGAGTTTAGGAAAGCATACCTTTAAAATACAAGATAGATTAGCCTGAAGGAGAAACTTTGCCTTAAGGTCATTCAGTAAATTTCATGACTTAATAACTAGGTTTACACATTCTGTTAAGTCTTGATCTGTTTGAAACAAATACACTACATAGCTTCACACATAATACTGTTTCTTAAACCATCATTGACAACTGCAGCTGGATTAACATATCACTTTATGACAAACGGGAAGACACTATGCTGAAGTTTTAGGAGCCCCCTTGGAAGATGTATAGAAAATGGAAGACAGTAGTGGCATGGATAATGTCCTTGGAATGAACATTGAAATACTAAGTAAGCAGGGAAAGCTACAAACAGGACAAGTTGTCCAGCGGCTTCTCTTTCTTTCAGGTTGCAGCCTAACTAAGGAAGTCAACATGACATCAATGATGATCCCTTCCAAAACCCTACTCTTTAATTCCAGAACGCCAACTGATAAAACGACGATTATCTATGATTTAAACCTTGATGAAAACATTGAACTAAAGACCTGACTGACAGAAGGAGTGAAAGTTCACCCTTCCCATCTTTGTCTACTTGAGCTATTCTTTTATACAAAAGACCAATAATGAAAGATAGAAGGATAGCTGTAGAGGCCTACATCAGTGTTTCTCAACCTCAGCACCTTTGTAGATGTGTAGACTTCCAGAATTGACCAATTGGTGGATTCTGGGAATTTAATCCACATATCTTAAAAGTTGCTGAGGTTGAAAAAAAAACTGGTCTACAAACATTCTATCTCACTGACAAAATGTTTGACATTCTGCCATTTTTCTGCCATTTCATGCATGCTAATGGGTTTGAATATAGATTCCGTTAGTGAAAAATCCCAAACATTTTGTGATAGTATTCATGCAAGTTGATCTTGTTTAGCTTATAACTAAAATATTGCATTCTCTGACTGGAAGAGAGTTTCTGCTCTGCTTTGAATAGTTGCACATCCCCATCTTTTTTAAAAACAAAAATATAATATGTTACGAAGACAGTCCTCAATTTATGACCTAATGATTGTTTGGAATCACTATAGCCTTGGAATGGGTGTTTTGTGGCCCATAAAGGGCCATCAAAGAAAGAAAAGGAAAACTTTTTCTGTGGTAATACTAAGATACATTTATTTACCCAAACATTTGAAATGATTTTATAGCATTTGTCTGCAATTTATAGATTTTGTTACAACCCAGTTTGATGGAGGATTGTTTGTTTTATTTTGATTATAGTACTCATATCTTTGAATCCATTCCAATGAATGACATACTAGAAATGAAATAAGAAATATAAATCATGTTTATCAGTAAAGAGGATGTAATTTAAATCATGATTTATCTGCGGATGTCAAGATGGTCTCTTGCCTTGGCACATAAATATATATAATATGAACTTGCAAATCTTAGTATTTCTAGGTACCGGTTAAAATTTCGCTTCAAAACATAACATTTGAAATATGAAGAGGACTTTATCTAACACATTCTATTGTATGGTTATATCTCCTATTTCTAGATTTGTATTCTCTGTTTTGAACTTTGGTTCAAGTTAATAAAAAAATAGGTCACAAATTAGTCAAGAAAATTCATTTTTGTCTGTGTCGTTTATTTTATTACAAGTGTTTATTAGGAGATTTAAAAATATTTTCTGGGATCAGATATTTCTAGCAGGCCCAGTACCGTGGATTATTTATATCCCATGCTACATGTTTCTAATTAGTTGGAAAAGTTAATAGCCTTATAAGTAAGTGAGCCACTGAGTCCTGACATTTTTGAACTAATGGTTAAAGTAATTTGCATTACGCAATCATAAATGCTTGCTTCTAGAATACTAGAACTACAGTACATCACATGATAATCGGTACTGAAAGATAAACAGATTCCTGTGGTCATTTGAACTTAAAAGCTAGTTGTAGGAATTGAGGTTTCCCCCCCTTGTCTTGTCTTCGCTAATCCTCCTTCATCTGAGGCTGCTTGAGTCAATCCTCAGCAGCTGGTGTTTTGCATTAGTTTTGTGAAGCAATTTGTTATGTGGTTTCAGCTGTCTAGATGGGGTGAAAATATCTTAACCATACTTGGAAATATTTTATGTTCCCAGTTTCAAGAAACATAACTTAAAATATCAATCTAGTTCTAGCGTCTTAGTTATCAAGGTTCAATAAATCCATTGTAACAGTCTTAATACCATTATCAAAGAATGAGTAGGTACAATATTGTGCTATATGTAAATATATACTTTAGTGCTTGTTTCCTACAATTATTACCTCTTAACATTTGTCCAGAACCTGGTGTTCCTTTTTTTATGTTTATGTAAAGTTTGCCTTGTGTGACAATTCAAAGTATAGTAGTGCTGAAGAAATAACTCTTCAACCAGTCCTTGCTTTTATGACCATTGCAGGGTCCATCAATCACATCGCCATTCACATGCTTTGCAACTAGCATGCAATTTCACTGAGCAAAAATTGTAAGCTCAGGCATGGTTCACTTAGTGATACTGATGATACTGCATATCATTTAACTGAATTCAAAAGAGATGTAAATGAAATCAAATAGAGTGTAGAAAATTACAGATTAAGTTGGGTTTGCAAACTTTGCAACACCATCATGTCCCAAAATGATGAAGGAATCCAAGTGAGAAGAAATGCACCTGTCCTCAGTAATTTTCAATCTGTATAGCAAATGAAACAATTATAGAATCCTGCCACCTAATAAAACAGGATCAGTTTGGTGTAATAGTTAAGGCATCATGCTAGAAACCAAGAGAGATAGAATTCTAGTCCTGCCTTAGGCAAGGAGCCACCTTAGACCAGTCACTCTCTCTCAGCCCTAGGAAGCAGCCAATGGCAAACCACTTCTGAAATATTGCCAAGAAAACTATAGAGACTTTCCAGACAGTTGTCTAGAGACAAAACTGGCACAAAAAACAAACACTTTCCATTTGAACTGAAAAAAGCAACTAAATTCAGAACCATACCACTCAATAGAAAGGATCAGCCTGCCAGTCTGTACAACTCCTGAAATTCAGGTTGTTCTTTCAAGGTAGCTATTCTTCTCTCTTCTCCCCTCCCTTAGCTTGGAACAATATCTGTTCTTTACAGCAACAGCTATGTGAGATCCTGACCTGTCCAAGCAGAGTGGGAACAAACTGGCAGTGATTTGGTCCCAGCTGTGCATGCTATATAAGGCATTCCATATAACCCCTGCAGCATTGTGCCAGAGTCCTTCTATGGCATCTTCCTAACAGTGATCCAGCCATGAGCACAGTCAGCTTGGGCTTCCATGGCTAGATCTCCATAGATCCACATTGAAGCCGTGTCAGACCAGTTTCCTATTCTGTCTGGAGAAATGCCTGTCTATGTTGATTGGGAGTAAATTCTGGTAATGACCTTGTACTCCAAAATATTTTGGCATCCCCCTACTCCTTAAATCTGTTCATGAACATTGCCAACTAAAAATGTTTGTACAAGAGAGATATAAACATAAGGCAGATATCAACATCATTCCTTTTACCCACTTGACAGAGTAGTGATTGAAGTATAGTTCCTAGTACCTCCAGCTAGCCATTGCCAATTATGAGGAATGCTAAAGAATTTGTGAGAGTTACTTCTCGTACTGATAAAAAGCCTGCAGTATTAAAACAGGAAACACATGCTGATTTTCATGGAAGAGGCTGGTTTTCAGCCCATTGCATTGAAACAAACATGAAAAAATGAACAAGCACTTTTCCTGTTTGAACTGTTTGAATCATTGGAATTTTGGGGTTATAATTTTTAACCTTCCTTCCAATAAACATATTTCACAGAACTCTGAGATTGTGTCTTGAATTAACTATTTTGAAGTAACCACGAAAAAAGTTTGACACAGTTATAGTTTCAACATTAAGTGGAGAGCCATAAATCTTAATCCTTTCACGCTCATTACTGAACTACTTATGTCAATAGAAAATTTTGAAGTGGAAGAAGGATTGCACACAGATCTTGATAACAAACTAGCTGTTAGTGTCATGAGGCAAGAGGATTTTTCATATACTTTCTTTGTTGGAGGAGGAACATTCATGTCAATTAGAGCACCTGAAGTTATACAATCATATTATTGGCAATGAGGTGGTGATTTACATGAGCTAATTGTTTACATAGCTGTGGTATGATGTTTTGCCCATTTTAGGTTTGGTTAAATTGTGAATTCATTTCAACAGGACTTAAGTATACTGGTTGGTGAAGTTCTATATGCAAAATATTCATTAACTATAGATTAGCAGAATGCTAAGAAGCATGCCTGTTTTTCAAAATATTATATACATTTATTCTTGGTTTTGAAAGACCTAGAACTAAGAAGAAGTTTTCTGTCAGAACAATTAATGACTTGCCTCAAGAAAATATGGGCGCTCCCAATAGTGGTGGCTTTAAAGAAGAGATTGGACAACAAATTGTCTGAAGTGGTATATGGTTGATTTCTCCTGATTAAGGAGAAGGTTGGACTAGAATGGTCCCTTCTAACTCTGTTATTCTGTTATTTTGACATATTTCCTTAAGATTTATACGATCTGAAGAGAAACCAGAGTATATTTCCTTAAGGAATAAATAACATTGTACTACTAGCTTTTCCATGTTTTTTTTCCCCTGTGTTCATCTATTTTGCTAGTTCAATCCATTCTTAAGCATTCCCACCACCAGTACTCTTAGACTAAACATCTATGCCATTTGTTGAGCAGATAAGAAAAATTGCAATTAATGGAGCATAATTATGTAAAATTATGTCTACAGTTGATTTACTTCCTGGAAATTGAATGAAGAGTAACTTGTTAAAATTAAGAAATCTTACAACAGCATTATTCTTGAATGCTTAAAATATTTCTAGAGTTATGTCAGCTTTCTGTAGGACTGGTATATGTCTTCTGCTAATGTTAGCAGTTTGTTTAGACATGATTAAAATGTTATTGCCTTTTAATATACTTCACACTGCAGGATTCTTAAATGCAATTAGAGCACCTGAAGCAAAACATACAATTGCAGCTATGCATGTGTCCCGGAGAGACCATATTTTATTTATGTGGAAACTCCTGATGAATTATCTAAGCTTCCAAAACTGATACTTTTTCTTTTATAGTTCTATATTGCTATAGTGAGAAACGAATATGTACCATGTCTATTTTGTAAAGACAAGGATTTTTTTTAAAGGGACTTTTTTCAAATGATAAAGATCTGTATTTGAGCTGATTTGTTTTACATGATGATTATGCTGCATATGTAAATATGAATTAAAGCTATACTTTATTCTATGCTGATTTCTTACACTTGTTTATTGTATATAAAAGATTAAAATGGCAATTTCTACTATTTGTGATATACCTTCTTTCATTTTTTTAAACATGTAACACGGTTCCTTTTCATATTTTCCTTTTAGATTACCTATTTTAGCCTTTGGTATTTCAACAAGCAGAACCAGCGCAGGTGGATAGACTTGGATAAGCCTCTCAAAAAGCAACTGGATAAATATGCATTGGAGCCAACTGTATTCTTTGGTGTGGTGTTTTATGTGCCTTCTGTCTCTCAACTTCAGCAGGAAATTACCAGGTGAATCTTGTAAGCTTGCATAGAATAATTCTAAATATAAAGTAATTAAATTTTACATCACCCTATTGAATTTGATACCAATTGTTTCCATATATCTTTACTATGGATTAGTCCTCCTGGATCTGAGAAAAAATCTTTCTGATTAATATATTATTTATTTCGTGGAGAATGGATTTTAGCTCAGATAAGCACGAGTAGATTTCCTTTGGAAGGTAATAAAAGCTGTTACCCTACTAAGCTGCTGAGTGAAGTCTCAGATTTGATGTTGAAGTTCTTAGTTACTTTTTGTCCTAGAAAATAGGAGAAAATACACTGAGATGGCACCGTTTGGGATGCACTGGTTTACACTGCATGGGACGAAGTAAGAATCCAGAGTCAGATTTACTTAGAAGTGTCAAATATTGAATGTAAACAAGCATTTGAATTTTTTTTGTTAAGTTTTGCGTAACTGAACAGTAACAATTTCATGGATGCTCCTTTCATAAAAGGAGAAAGGGAGTTCATCTGAGTTAACAAGGAGTACTACGATTTGAAGTCTCTGTTTCACAAGCATAGTCATCCATCATGTGATTTGATGTGCACACAGTTCACGCTAAAAAATCTTGGAAGTCTGATTGAATTGAAGCAATTTACCATGAAGAAGTGGGCTGCTATTCCTACTGATCAATGTGAGAGATGATCACTGTTTGTAGGAAATTATCTATATGCTACTAAAACATTTATGTCTGTTTGTAACATTTAATTGGGTGAAACACTGTGGCATCAGGCAGCAATGTTTGAATGAAGGTGTTTCAAATGGGCTAAATTACAGAATGTTTAAAAAATCTGGGACCCATTATTCCTGTGGACTTGAAATTTGGAAAAGTTGTAGCCTTTTTAGCACTGCCATGCCATAGTGTTATTTCCAGTGCTCCCTGCTAGCTTTTCAAAAGAAAGGCTTATGGGGCTTATGGGGAAGCTGCCAGGTAGTCCCAGGCCAGCAGATAAGTAAGTGGCTGCTGCCAGGTGGGGAAGGGACAGAGGTGGTATTCAGCAGGTTCTAACCAGTTCTGGAGAATCAGTAGCAGAATTTTTGAGTAAATACTATCTCTGACTGACCCCGCCACCATCTTTTATCTGCCTCCTGAGTCCCAGCTGATTGAGAGGAAATGGGGATTTTGCAGTAACCTTTGCCTGGAGTGGGGAAGGAATGGAGATCCTTCCCCTGCCAAGCCCACAAAGCTATGCCACACCCACAAAGCCCTGTCATGCCCACAAAGCCATGCCACGCCCACAAAGTCATGCCCACAGAACCGATAGTAAAAAAATTTGAATCCCACCACTGGAAAAGGAATGAATGGATGCATGGAGGTGGCACTATGTAGGTCAGAGAGGGTATGTGAAAAGTGCCATTCAACTTGGGAAGTATATTCTGTGTAAGAGGTGCCATATTGGTTGGGGAGATATGCAAGAGACATCATAGTGTACGGAGATTGGGTGAGGTTTATAAAAGGTACCCTGTTGCTTAAGGAGGTTGCACGGTAGTGCGGTGCGAGTTAGAGAAGTGTGTGGGTGTGAATGAGGGCATGAGGTTAGGAATACATTAATAAATTAGTAAATAAATATCTATGAAGGATTACGCAACAGGCCATGAATTGTCTAGTTGCTAGTAAATATGATACAAGTAACCAAATCTATAGGAGTTATTATTTTTTCTAACTAACATACTGTATGTTGAAAAGACTTCAGCACCAAATCTGGGATATCCTTCATCAGTTTATATTATTTAACAATTTTATAGAATAGTAGGCCATGTGTAACAAAGACTATTTTCTCTACTTTGTTCAAGCCCAGACATGAACTCTGAATTTGTTGGAAGAATTTAATAGTATACTAATGGTTTTAAGTGATGCTTCTTCTCCAAGAGATAAATTTTAATAAAGGATGGAATTAGATAAGGCTTAAAAATTGAAGTACAAAGAAAAAATGGTAATGTAGGCTAATTTGTAACTTAGAAGTGTAATGACATCAGAAAAAAGGAATATCTCTGAATAGAGAAAAAAATTGCTGCACTGAGATCCTTGTATGTGAATTAAAGATTTAATATCAGATGGGGATCATTACCTTACTATTTCCACTTGTTTATTTATTATTTAGATACAAGGGAAGTTGACTTCTGCAAAGTCACGCTGCTGATTCCAAAATTACTAACTTGGACAGTAGTTCTCTAGAATCTCATATACTGATTTTTCTTATTATCTGCTGCTTGATTTTTTTAAATGGAAAAACTATGGATTGAATCTGGAATTTCTGCACATACTCCTCTAATAAATTACAATGCCTGGCCTACCATATATAATATCATATGCATATATCAGCTTATATAATATTATATATTTTATTTATATACTCTGTTTTTTCCTATACATTGAAAGTGTTATATGTACTTCTTGTTCCATAGAATCATATCAGCAAAACAGATATCAGTCCCCAATTTGCTTACAATCTAAATTATTTATAGTGCTAGAGAATTAAAGGCATCTTTGTATAGGCATATAGGTATGTACATATACATCACATACTGTTTTTGACTATATGCATTTTCATGAATCGGAGGCATGTGAAAAAACATTTCCCCCCATAGATACCAGTATTACCTACAACTAAAGAAAGACATCTTGGATGGAAACATACCTTGCACGTTTGAACAAGCAATTCATCTTGCTGGCTTAGCTGTTCAAGGTAATTTTCACACTTGCAATCATGTTTAGCTTATTTAGGAGGAAGGAATTTGTATCACTGCTTGAATAACATGTTTTCCCCCTTGCTGTTCTACTTACCTTTAGCTTCTTAGTGCCTGCGAAGCGTGCATTTGTCACACGCATGCTTGCTCAAAGCAAACTGATAACAGACTTCAGAACATTTCACCCCTGACTTGTGGGCATTCTTTATTGTTCTTTTATTGTTATTATTGAGCGAAATATACATGTTTATGTAACTATGTTTTTTTCTGTATGTTTTTTTGTTGTTGTTATATAGTTTTGTAGGATGCTTATATTTACTTGACTGAAGCAGCAAAAATACTTGTATGAGTGAATAAATAAATAAGACATTTCCCACCTGGTCTGCAAAAATCTTGATGACCACTAGGTGTCAGATTATAGAATCCTTTTTGTATCTCTTTGCTACCATCTAGTGGTTATCTCTGCTTTGAGTCAGTGGGCTTTAGTTTGAGAACTGTGTGTTCTCAAGCCGCTCAGTCACCTAGTACCTCACATAATTTTAATCGTAGTAGTAGTAGTAGTAGTAGTAGTAGTAGTAGTAGTAGTAGTAGTAGCAGCAGCAGCAGCAGCAGCAGCAGCAGCAGCGATGATGATGATGATGATGATGATGATGATGATAATGATAATGATAATGATAATGATGATGTTGCAAATATACCCTGATTCTGATCTTTGAAATGTTGGATGTATGAAGATTTCTATTAACCAGTAATATTTTTGCATGGATATTTTATATTATAGAAGAGATTGGCAAAAAAAGATGAATTGTTGGCATGAGATTGGGGAGCCATGAATATTCATTTTACTTTCTGTTATACTTTACATGCTGAGAGCAATAATATTGTGCTATATAGAATGATAATTTTGTCAATGCGATAGAAGAAATGCATCACCATAATTTGTATCAAACGTTCTGCTTTTTGTATTTACCCCAGCTAACTCTTAAATCATAGTGATTCAGTAAATAATTACTTAATTGCATGTGTATATCATGAAATAATTTAGCTTTCTAACTTCTGTTTCTAGGTAAGAAAACAGGAAGTTGTAATATATCCATTTGTGTTGTTTATATGACTTCTGGGAGTTTGGATAGGAATTTTCTCTATGCATGCAATAATTATTTGTGGCCTATTGCTCATCTGTCAAATAATGCTTTGTTATTAACAGAATTACTTTCCAACAGAATTGTATGTTAAGTATTTCATTTCTGCCTGTTTTGTTTTAATTCCTCAGCTGATTTTGGGGATTATGACCAATATGAATCCCAAGAATTTCTACAGAGATTTGCCTTGTTTCCTGTGGTAAGGATGATTAAGTTTCTCTTGCCTTTCTCTCATGTTTGGAGATATTTAAAAGACAAATTTTAATAAACAAAATCAGTCCTTCATGTTGATACAGATAGTCTTCAATTTACGACTACAATTGAGCCCAAAATTTCTGTTACTAAGCAAGACAACTGTTAAGTGAACTGTGTTCATTTTATGATATTTCTTGGCACATTTGTTAATAACAAAGTTGTTAAGTGAATCATTTGACCATGAGGATGCTATAATGGTTGTAATTGTGAAAAACAATCATATATCACTTTTTTGTTTTAAATTCAAATATTCACACACAGACATATATACATATAGCAAGTTTGTTAAAAACCTCCTCTCTCTCTCTCTCTCTCTCTGTGTGTGTGTGTGTGTGTGTGTGTGTGTGTGAGAGAGAGAGAGAGAGAGAGAGAGAGAGAGAGAGAGAGAGAGAGAGAGAGAGAGATATACCTACCTACCAAGAGAGAGATACCTACCTACATACATACATCTATAAATCCATGATTTGGAACATTTGCAATGTGAAAGATAGTTTAACACAGATCAAACTATTCAATATGGATCCCATCTGAATTTCTTTAAATTTCCCACATGGGAAAATAAAAAAATGATTAGGCATCTCTGACTTCAAACAATGGATATAAATTTATCATTTTGTGCATGTTTATATAAATCTGATTAAATATTATTGTTTATATGGGTACCATGAATACTTGCTGTCGACATTTTCCCTTTCTGTGGACATTTCAACATTCAACTGTGAATGTTTTAATTATTGTTCTTATATAAGTTGCTATGAGTATATTGGTTTGATGACATACATACTGTATATGAATAACTGAAAGAAGGGCAGATGGAGTAGTATATGTTCATATTTTTAAACAACATCTTACAACAAAAGGAGTTTAGGATGTCAACAATGGATAGAGGAATAAGCTTTGTTTTCCATTTTTAAGGGCTGGTTGCAAGATGAGAAGATGTTAGAAGAAGCAACTCAGAAAGTGGCATTACTCCACCAAAAATATAGGTATTGGTTCTGAATTTATGACATTACTTCAAGTCTGAAAGTTGCCGGATGATTGCATACTGATTGTTGCTATAAAATAGGGAATTGTTAAATTAGGATTGATGATGAGAAATTTAGTTCCTATGTAAACAGAAATCAGCTGTGTTAACACAAAGTCCTCCTTCTGACCCAGTGATTGAAATCTGGTGAATCTATTTATCATTCTTTTGAAGTAATAACTACATCAAAAATGCTGTAAGCTTACAGTAGGTTTAACATGTATTTTAAACTGAGATCCTGACAAATGAATGTAGGGGATTTCATCTTTCCTGCTTGATTTGACTCTTAGGCTGCTACTGAAAACCCCGTTTATTAATAGTTGTAAAAATTTAATACTTTCCATTGATTAGAAAGACATGATAAATAATAATAATCAATTCTGTTTTAAAGGGAAACAGTTTTGCTTTAATAATATTGTATTACAAACTGTTTGAATATGGAGAATGGATGCCTCAGAATCATTAACTATAGTTTTTAGTGGCACAACCTTTTCTTTACAGTGGCCCCATGTTTGGAATCTGCAACAGATCTATTAAATTCTGCTTATGATAGATTTGCAAGAGACCTGAAAATGCAAATATAATTTTTGCTCCTTGTAATATTTTGTACTTTGTCTGTTATTTTAAGGTTGGATTTAAATAAGACACTATTGTGATTTCCTTGTTTGTAGGCTATTGACTTTATATAAAGCAAACCACAAAATTCATTTAAGCTCTTTACTGAATCAGCTTAATTTTTTTGAATTTGCAGAATACATTGAATTGTAGAATAACTCAGTGGTCTGAGTTCATAAGATATGGTGAACTACTGTGTGTGTGCATGTGTGTGTGTTTGTACATATAGATCTGAGTCTTTGCTGATCTGCCTTATTGTAGAGAAAAACCACATTTTTGAAGCAATTTATGTATGTAAACTTTAAGCGATATACTTTCTAAAGAGTATTGCTGATACAGGCAGAAACTAAGTGTTCAAAGAAACTAGTTAGGCAATTTTTTCTTTTCTTCTTTTGAAGGGGCCTCACACCACCTGATGCAGAGATGTTATATATGCAAGAAGTTGAGAGAATGGAAGGTTATGGTGAAGAGACCTACCCTGCTAAGGTAAAAGTTAACTTCACTGAAGGCCTGTATCAGTCAATGTTGTACAAATATGATAATTAAGTTCCCTATTGCATTTTAAATTTTCTTTTAAAAAAGTATCCTTTCATCTTGTTATAACCCTGATAATGTTTTTTGTTAAAACCTTTAGCAGAAACACCTAGATGTCAATCCAGAAATAGGATTGGAGATTCTAGTTGGAATGCAATAAATTTATACTGAAAATATTCTGAATTTTATGTTAACCAATAAATATAGCAAGCATAGTCTTGTAACATATAAAAATCATATTCTATATCTAGTAAAACTAAAAGGCAGGATTTCAAATATATAAACAAAATGAGTTCAGCACATTGACAATTTTGTGTCATCAGTGTGCAATTTACAATTAGAAGAAGCTGTGCAGGATCTTCCTGAAAGTAGTAATGTACTGGATGAGGGCAAACAAGCTGAAGCTAAACTTAGATAATGTGTTCTCAAGCCCAGGAATTAAGTAGGTGACTTATTCTGAAGTAGGTAGTGTATCCTCTGAGGAACATGTTTCATTGTTTGGGGACTAATCTCAATTCCCAATTGTCACTAAAGGCATCATTGGTCTCAGTGGTAATGAAAAGATAAGACTAATTTTTGCTGGTTGCAGGATACAACCCTTCTGGACTAGAGTAGTCTGGCCTCAATCATCTATCCTCCATCCTCTAATAACTTCAGATTTAGATTACTATAATTTCCTTTTCTGGGCTATCTTTGAAGACAGCATGGAAGCTGCAGTTGTACAAAGCATAAGTCTCTGATTGGTGAATGAGATTGCACAACATTGGTCCTGAAAACATTGCACTCATTTCCAGAAGGTTCCATAGTTGCATTTGAGGTGCTGACATTAGTCTGTAAAATCCAAATAAATGAGAATCCCAATATTAAAATAGCATTTATCAATAACAATTATATATGGCTTCATAGTGCTTAAAAGCCCTCTCTAGGTGTTTTACAGAGTCAGCATATTGCCTCCAACAATCCTCAATTTACTGACCTCGGAAGGATGGAAAGCTGAGTTGACCGCGAGCCAATGAGAATTGAACTGCTAGCAGTCAGCAGAATTAGCCTGCAATTCTGCATTCTAAGCACTGTGCCACCACAGCTCGGGCTACCATGAACTTCTCTGGGGCTGTAAAATCATACTACAGAAAACTTCCCAGTAGCCCCATAAATTGATTTGGTTTACAGTGTGCTGAATCTTTTCAATGGTAGTATTCAATTAAGGAAGTATCTTCAAAGGGAAATACGGATGACCAAAAGCTGTCTTCATTTAGATGACAATTAAAAATCTATCCATTCAGCTTGGCAGATAGATCTGTGTTTTTGGGATGTCATATTGGAAAGACATCCCCAGGTAAGATATATCATTCCAGTATTATGCTTAGGAGGATGACCAATGTTTTGGTATGCAAAAATGGCAACTACTATTTCTGGGCATGCACAGTGTGCAATCTGAAGTGTCCAATAATTGGTTTCTAGAACTCTTGTGTAATCCTGCAGGGATTGTGTATATTATTTTTTAAAATTACCTTTTAATTAATTTTTCTATTTATTATTTGTGAGGATTAATGGTTAATCATTTAATGTTATTTAAGTCTTTGATAAACTACTCTGATAAGAATAATACTTTTGTAATAATTGAATGTTGAAAGCATTAATTATTTAAGGAATTTTAGGAGAAGTTATGTATAAGGAAACAAAGTTATTTCCTTATTCTAGGAAGCATTGCCCTCAATAATATCTTCAAGATACATGATCTCTTTTTGATTAGATAATCAGGTTAACATGTTGGCATATCATTTTTGCAATATAATTTAATTTTTTATCTTGTCGTGGCTGAATAGTTGCTGTACTAACGTTAACAACTTAGTTTTTCATTATCATTATCTAGGATAGCCAAGGAAGTGACATATTCATTGGAGCTTGTCTTGATGGAATTTTTGTCAAGCATAAAAATGGTCGACCTCCTGTAATATTTAGGTGAGTTTTCCCCCCAAATAAGAGGAAAAGTGTGAAGTTTCATAATCATAACAATCTCTGGGTATTAGAGCTAAGTAAGTACGTGTTGCCTGTCCTAAAGCCATACAGGATATAAAGCTGTAGTCACACAACTAATGAGACCTGTACTGTGATTAATTGACATGCCATCAAGTCACATAAATAGATTTCCTCCATAATAATCTGTGCCTAAGCTGGTATTTCAGGTCTTTCAACAATGCACTCACCACCAGTGTAAGTGAGTCTATCCGCCTTGCTGCTGATCGTCCACTTCTCTTTCCCTCCACCTTTCCCAGCATTAGAGCCTTTCTCCAGAGAGCTAGTTCTTCACATAATGTGTCTGAAGTAGGGTAACCTGGATGTCAAGTAAGAACTCTGGGTTGATTTGTTTGTTGCCTTTGCTGTCCACTGTTTTCTTTGGGATCTTCTCCAACATTAAGATTCAAAAGCACCAAGACTCTTCCTATCCTGCTTCTTCAGAGTCTAATCTGTGCTATGAAATTCTTGTTTATCTTTCAGTAACCACTGTAAGGATTATTTAGTGTGCAATCTCTTAACCTTTGGTCATAGAAAGTGATTGCTTGTTTCCTCCTTCCAAGTTAGTAGATAGGGTTCCAAATTCAAGGGGTAAGTTTGACTTTAAATCGGTTGCCTTCAATGAGAAGCTCTTCCTGAAATCAGGGAATCCCTGCCTGAGAAAGTCTCAGGAAGAGCACAGAAGGAAGAAGGTTCCAAGCACTTCTAACTCTTGTCTGCTTTTTTCCTCCCACATTCCTATTTTGTCCACATCAATACCTAACTTAAAGGACTCACAAAGAGAGATTGGAGGACACAGCTGTGATACAATAAATTTACTAATACAAAAGTCTTTAGTAATAAATAAAATCAGTCACTGCAAACTCTAGGATTCAAATGGCATTTGCAGCAGCACCCTCCTGATTCAAATCGTACATCAGTTTTCCTATCCTTAGATTGTAATGAATCAGAGGCACTTATTTCCCAGTAGAAGTAGTAGTTGGCAGTGGAAACCATTGCTTCTGGTTTCAGGCTACTAGCTTTGGATTTTGCCACCTCTAGTTGCTGACCAGGAAGAAATGAAAGAGTAGCAAATGATGATCCTTCTTCCCTGTTTGTAATTATGTAGGACTGGTGTATGAGATCTTTGCCCCTGACCTGAGATGGTGTTAGTTCAGCTTTTGCAATCCCTTGGGTGGAGACTAAAACAAAAGCAAGCAACTGAATGATTATAGCTTTGATTATAGCTTCAAAGTTGAAATATGGCAGGGAGCTAACAACTTCTGCAAATGTGTAATAATAGCAAATCAATATATTTTTTACACAGGGAACTATAACATAATTATGTGAAAGTTATGGATGCTTAAATTTTTGTCTTTACTCTTTTCATATGCAGGTGGCATGACATTGCTAATATGACCCACAACAAATCTTTTTTTGCGTTAGAATTAGCCAATAAAGAAGAGACAATCCAGTTCCAAACTGTGAGTTTTTATTTTGATACATTTTAAACAATTGTGATATGAGGAAGAAATCAGATTCTCTATAAATGAGAGTATATATAGATATGCCTGTGTATAATATATGAGTGTGTCTATATGTGGGAGAGAAAGTTGATGTATCTGAAGGGTGACGGTCACTTAATTTTTTATATTATCTTGCTATTAGCATGTTATATAATCTATTAGCAGCCAACATATTTGGACAGGAACAATTATCTTCATATATTCTCCCTATCAATATACATATACATATACATGCACATACACATATACATAACTGTCATATGTTCTGCACTTCGTCACCATAGCATTCAGTGAATTAAAATGTAATATACTTATTTACATCTCTCTCAGGAGATCTCCAGGGCACTGCCCGTATGTTCTTTAAAAGAATGTTTCCAAGCCAGATTTTTATAATGAAATAATTCTGCTTTATTCAAAGATATAGATAGTACCATATTTTTTCTACGTTTTGGTCTATTTTTTCCTCTTTATTTATAAAGTAAATAAAAATAAATAAATAAATTTTGCCAGAAAACAGATAATAGGTGTGGTTATGGCAAAACATGATTTGCTATTATTTCTCTCTGTGTTTGGCTAATATTGCATTATTGATAGTGAAATACTGCTATCTTTTATATTTTTTTAACAATTTTATCAGTTTCATTGCATTTTTAAAATATGGTTTATCATAATCCTACATTTATATGATAAAAGGTACATGCTTATTTTGTAAAGGAAGAAGAAGAGCCTGCATCTGTTTCCTGTTTTGATAGCCATTATTCCTATCTGTGTGTGAAGTAACTCTCACAGATAAAATAACTATTTTGTAATGAATTTTGATGAAGCCCAATATAAACTTTGTGATAATAGTGTTCTACCTGTGGTATATGACTTGAATTGGTTTTGAGCTTGTTGTATTTTATTGTTCTTATGTGGGAATCATAAATAAAGTATCTCTAGAGATGGTAGGCATGTGTATCGGGTGGGATTTTGCTTGTCTCTGTTGTGCATGACCTTTATGCTGGGTCCACCCAAGAACCTGGTTTGTTTCATATGTATATTTTCTGTTTGACAGGAAGATATGGAAACAGCAAAATATGTGTGGAGGATGTGTGTGGCCAGACACAAATTTTACAGATTAAATAAATGTAGCCTGTAAGTACCATATCTTTTATCTTCTTAATTGTGTTTGATTTTTATAAATAGCTAACTTATTTTCTTTTTGATAGCATATTCCTGATGCTGGGACTGAATTATCTTAGACATTTTTCTTTCAGTATTCATATAAGCAGCCGTGTATGGTGAAATAGGTTTTCTTGCTGCAAGCTCTGATTAAATGGATTGAACTGTGAGAAAATATTACTAGGACATTCTAGAACTAGTAGTGTAGTGTAGTGTATGAATTTGCAGTGCTATACCGTATATGAATATATATCTTATAGGCATCTCAACATCTTGGTAAGGCCACACTTGGAATACTGCATTCAGTTTTGCTCACCACGATGTAGAAAAGATGTGGAGACTCTAGAAAGAGTGCAGAGAAGAGATGATTCTCTGATCAGAGAAGAGATGAAACTATGAACAAAGATGATTAGGGGACTGGAGATTAAAACATACAGAAGAACGGTTGCAGGAACAGGGTATGTCTAATTTAATAGAAAGAAGGACTGGGGGAGACATGATAGCAGTGTTCCAATATCTCAGGGCTTGCCAATAGCAATAGCAATAGCAGTTAGACTTATATACAGCTTCATAGGGCTTTCAGCCCTCTCTAGGCAGTTTACAGAGTCAGCATATCGCCCCCACAGTCTGGGTCCTCATTTTACCCACCTCGGAAGGATGGAAGGCTGAATCAACCTTGAGCCGGTGAGATTATAGCAATAGCAATAGCAGTTAGACTTATATACAGCTTCATAGGGCTTTCAGCCCTCTCTAGGCAGTTTACAGAGTCAGCATATCGCCCCCACAGTCTGGGTCCTCATTTTACCCACCTCGGCAGGAGGGAAGGCTGAATCAACCTTGAGCCGGTGAGATTAGAACCGCTGAACTGCAGATAACAGTCAGCTGAAGTGGGACGATTGGTGAGCCAACCAATTAGTGAGCGGTGGGTGGGGCTAGGAT